TTGCCGCTAGTAGCCAAACTCATATATCTCATATATCTCCCAAGCGGCTAATATTCCCATCCTGCAGTCTCTATTCGTCAGTAATAAATCCCCCCAATAACGAGACCAAGCTCCGCATTGAGGGTAAAACATGAACTGGGTTTACTGTGGGCTATTTATGCAGGTCTCCCACTTGGTGGACACTCCCCTAGGGGACCAAATGGTAGACTGTAATGGCAGATGGACATACAGCATTTTAGGACAAACAGGCACATAATATTCCCAACATGCAGGGCCATCTTTAACGCGGGGCAAACGGGGCAGCTGCCCCGGGCCCTGTCCCTGCTGGGGGGCCCGAGGTAACTGCCCTGTTTGCCCTCTGCCCGCAAACTATGGGGGCCCATCGGGTGGCCCATGCACTTAGGGCCACCCGGTGGGACTGTGTCAGCAGGGGCCCGGTCGGGCGCTGTGGCGCTTTAACAGCGCGACCGGGTCCTTGCTTTTCGGCAGCAGTGGGAGGAAGTGACAGCCGTGCGTCACTTCCTCCCACAGAAACTGGAGCCGCGCGGGAGGAAGGAGGACCAGCTGTTCCGGAGGGGGCCAGGCCAGGAGAGCTTAACTCCCAGCCTTCCCAGCCAGCCCACTGGACCCCAGGGAAGCCACCCTCCAGGACAAGGTAAGAAACTGGAGGGTGGTTATCAAAGTCTGTCAGTGTATCTGTATGTGTGTTTGTTTGTCAGTGTCTGTGTGGTTCAGTATGTCTGTATGTCTGTCAGTGTGTCAGTATGTCTGTGTGTGAGTCTGTCAGTGTCTGTGGTTCAGTGTGTATGTGTGTTTCAGTATGGCTGTCTGTGTATGTCAAAATGTCTGGATGTGTGTTTGTCTGTCAGTGTCTGTGTGTATGTGTGTTTCAGTATGGCTGTCTGTGTATGTCAAAATGTCTGGATGTGTGTTTGTCTGTCAGTGTCTGTGGGTATGTGTGTTTCAGCATGTCTGTCTGTGTGCCAGAATGTCTGTCTGTCTGTGTGCCAGAATGTCTGTCTGTGTGCCAGAATGTCTGTCTGTGTGCCAGAATGTCTGTCAGTATGTCTGTGTGTGAGTCTGTCAGTGTCTGTGGTTCAGTGTGTGTGTTTCAGTATGGCTGTCTGTGTATGTCAAAATGTCTGGATGTGTGTTTGTCAGTGTCTGTGTGGTTCAGTATGTCTGTATGTGTGTATGTCTGTCAGTGTGTCAGTATGTCTGTGTGTGAGTCTATCAGTGTCTGTGGTTCAGTGTGTATGTGGTGTTTCAGTATGGCTGTCTGTGTATGTCAAAATGTCTGGATGTGTGTTTGTCTGTCAGTGTCTGTGTGTATGTGTGTTTCAGCATGTCTGTCTGTGTATGTGTGTTTCAGCATGTCTGTCTGTATGTGTGTATGTGTGTTTCAGCATGTCTGTCTGTCTGTGTGCCAGAATGTCTGTCTGTGTGCCAGAATGTCTGTCTGTGTGCCAGATGTCTGTCAGTGTGTCAGTATGTCTGTGTGAGTCTGTCAGTGTCTGTGTGTTTCAGTATGGCTGTCTGTGAGTTTCAAAATATCTGTATGTGTGTATATCTGTCAGTGTCTGTGTCTGTGTGTTTCAGTCTGTCTGTGTGTGTGTGCCAGAATGTGTGTATGTCTGTCAGTATGTCTATGTGTGAGTCTGTCAGTGTGGTTCTGTATGTCTGTGTTTGTCAATATGTCTGTCAATGTCTGTGTGTATGTGTGTTTCAGTATGTCCGTCTGTCTGTGTGTATATGTGCCAGTACGTCTGTCAGTGTATCTGTATGTCTGTGTGTGTGAGAGTCCATCAGTGTCTGTGTGGTTCAGTATGTCTTTGTGTATGTGTGTTTCAGTATGGTTTTCTGTGTGTGAGTCTGTGTCAGTACGTCTGTCAGAATGTGTCTCTGTATCTGTATGTTGTCCATTTGTATTTGTGTGTGTATCTGTATGTGTCAGTGTTTGTATCTGTATATCTGCATGTGTGTATCTGTGTGTCTGTCTGTCAGTGTGTGTGTCGGTGTATCTATAAGTAGTCAGTGTGTGTACCTTTGTATCTGCATGTATGTCAGTGTTTGTATGTGTGTGTGTCAGTGTATCTATATGTAGTCTGTGTGTATCTGTATGTTCTTGTGTGTTTCTATATGTGGTCAGTGTGTATCTGCATGTGTGTCAGGTAGTGTATTTGTGTGTATCTAGACGTAGTCAGGGGGCCCAAGTAAATGCTCGCCCAGGGTCCAATCTAAATTAAAGACGGCCCTGCCAACATGCATTATGGTTTCCTCCCCTCTGCCCTGGAAATAATTGAGAAGTAATTCAATTATCTCCCAGGACAGAGGC